CACTTGCCTATTTCAATAAATACTTGTGCGATAATCTTTTATGTTTAAGGTGCTGCTCAAGATACAAATCTATATTTTACATAATGTTTGCCATTTCTGGGATATATTAATAATTGAGTTTAAGAGTTCACTTATATACCAATGGGTTTAATGCATTCCTGTGTTACATGAGTGGCGTTGACAATAAAGATTACATTTGTTCATTAACTTAAAAAATAATTATTGAACCCCCTAGTATTCCCAGGAACATGCTATGCACTAGATACAGTGGAGAACAAGACAGACAGGATTCTTGCTGTCATAGAGTTTACAGTGTTGCTATAGGAGCCCAGAGGAGGGAGACACTGATATTGCTAATATGATCAAAAAAGTTTAGTGTACTATTTTTAAAGTGTGGTCTTTTCACCACAATGTTAGGTTTATTTAGCTCATTAATAATCCAGGTTCCTGGGCCCTACTACACATCTGCTGAATCTTTGGAGCTGAGACCCAGGAGTTGCATTTTCATCAGTCATCTCAGGTGATTCGTATGTACAATAAAGGTTAAGACCCATGTGCTTAGGGAGTAGAATAGTCTGGACATTTGAAGAATGTTGATGGGGAAGAATAGAGTTGACAGACACTTATCCTTGTCCTGGTCAACATATTAGTTGCTAAACTGAAAAAGGACACTGATGATAAGTTAAGTATATATTTGGATGCCAGAAGGCTGGGAGAGACAAGTGATATGTTGAAAGATAGGATCAGGATAGCAAAAGACTTTGATAGGCTGATTCTAGTAAGCAATATGGAATAAGGTTGAAGTAAAATGCTGCCTTCAGTTCCAAGAAACTTGGTTTAAATACAGCCCACACGCAGAAGACTCTTGAGTCTTAGTGTCCTGCAACCTTAATACAAGCCAGCGATGTAATGCGATTGTCCACAGAATTAACTCAATCTTGGGTAGCATCGATTGACAGAACAGTGTCCAGACAGAGCAGCGAAGAGCCTTGCTCTTCCGACTCGCTGTGCTCACACTGTCGTCAGGGACAAAAGCACTGTCTCTATCAAACAGAGACTTGTGCTCAGTTCTGGGTGTCACACCATGAAAAATGGCACGGTGCACCAGGAAGGGCAAGCAGTATGGGGACGTTGTATAGAATTGGATTAGATTTGTTGCCTGTTGCATCAAACACGACAGGTGTTAAAGGGAGATAAGATAATTTTTGTTTTCACTTGAAAAAGAGTTTATGTTTATTTATTTCTTTAACACTAAGACAGTTCAAAGGAGGTTTGGACTGTATGTGGGAGGAAGGCGAGTTCTGTTATGGCGTCTGTTTAAGCAGCGAGAGGCTGGGTCCGTGTATGGGTAGAGGCTGGCGGGAGATAACGTCTGGTGTTTAGTGTGTGGAGCTGAGAGAGGAAAAGCCACATTTGAGGGATGGCAGCAATCACCTAGGATACTGGAGCTGGACTTAGAGGACAGAAGCAAGGAGGGCCTAGGGCTATGAGTTTCTCTTTCACGCACTCGGCAGCGGGAAACCACCGATGGTTTTTGAGCCTTGAGATATGATCAAGGAGGAGTTTGAGAAGAGGAGTCCTTTGGAGATGTATGGGATAGATCTGAGGGAGTAAGGCAAAGTTACTAATCAAGGGGTCTGGGAATGGGCTTGAAATTGCATGAAAAATCTTTGCATGTGTATGTGCTCACGTGCCTTTTTCTAGAGCGACTCCATTGGTCTGCTACTGGGTGATTAAGACCCACTACAGTAGGAACCAAAGGGACTATAGGAAGGCACCTAAATTTATGCTTTTATCCTGGAGGGAGACGAGTTACAAGGCCATTGTAATACGGAGGTAGACAGTGGGAAAGGAAAGGAGGGCGTGAGGGGGGAGACGCCGTGGTAAAATCAGCAGAGTTGCAGAACGGTGTCACAGGAGGCTTGGGTCTGGCTTTGTCTAGACAGGGTTACAGTTCCAGCTCTTCCAACCGTTTACCTTCGCAGACGTGATTTAACCTCTTGGAGCCTCAGTTTACTCATCTGTACATTGAAGGCAATAATGTTCCGCAGTGAGAAGCAAACGATCTACAAAGTATGTGAAAGTATTTTATAACCTGAGAATTAAAAACAAACATCGGCTGTTGTCATGTTGAGTTTCAAAGGGAGGAATCGAATAGATTAGCGAAAGTAGGGAACTGAAGATGGTTTTATTTCACTTACTAGTGGAGAAGAATAAGGCAGAGAACCTGAAGAAGCCTGTTTCGGGGCTTAGAGTTTAGACCAAATAATTAAGTATATTAAGTTTAGATTATCATCTTCCCTTCAATACTCTTTACCTTTCAAATCTCAGCTAAAAGTTATAGTCTTAGGGCTTCAAGTCTTAAAGTATTAAAGTAGAAAGATTCGGGTTTCCTGAAAGGACTTTTTTTTTGGTACATGTTGGATTTATTTGTTTATATGTCGTCATTTCTCCCTTGGCCTGCTCGTTCTATGCTGTTGCTTAAAGTCACTAATTGTCTTATTTGTGTTTTACATGAAGTGTCTACTGTATGGCTTGGCACGTAGTAGATACTGCTGAACCGTCACTGCCTGATGGACGTGGGGGCTCAGCTGCCCGTGGATATATTTAGGAATATTGGACTTCTTAGAGGATAGTGGTATTTTAAACCTAGATCAACAGAAATCTCCTTCCAGATGTCATTTGGAATTTCTTGCCGTTATCTTCACAGTTTAAGATAAAGATAGTTGATTCCAGAGCAGAGGGGCAGATTACGACATGCAGAATTTTCATGTGCTTTGGCTGTAATGCAAGATTCCTTTAATGTGACCAGGGGAAAAACTGCTTTGCAAATGTGTCATGTGTCCTTCGGCCTTGGTCTGTAACCTTTGCCAGATGTCGTAGACTTCCTGTTTGAAGTGCCTAGGGAGACCACAACTCACATTGCAGTAAGTTTATTAAAAGCCACAGAGCCAGTTACTAGTAATTAGAACAAACTCCAAATTTTGTTTTTCTAGATGCAGGGACTTGGCTTAAAATTACACTCCTTTAATCACCGGGAACACTGGAGTTAGCGAAATAGAGACTGCAGTGTGGAAGCAACATAGCCGGGCCCCGAGAGCGTACTGTCCTTTTAGATTTCTGGGAGGGCGAGAGAGATTTTAGTCTCATTTAAGGCCTTTAGGTGGGGGACTTGGATTTCACATTTTGAAATTTTCTCCCCCTGACCCCCTTTTTCTGTGTGTACTTGTCTGCATGATGGCTTTGTCAGCTGCTGAACTTCTGTATACATAGAGATTTCTTGTTCTTCAGGCCTTCTTTGGT